ATCAAGCGGCTCATCTCCCTTCCCTACGCCCATCAGCAGCAAGGTGTAGCAGAAAGAATGAACAGGACCTTGCAGAATAGCATGCGCAAACTGCTACGTGGCATGCGGCTACCCAACCACCAGTGGCCTGCGGCAATGGACCATGCCATCATGCTGCACAACTTGCTCTCGTCATCATCGCTTCCGAACAACGCATCACCGCATCTGCTATGAACAGGGAATCAGGGCAGCACAAAAATGTTACGAGTATTCGGATGCATGGTACAGTACCGACCCCCAGCAGCACGAGCGGGCCGATTTTCTCAACGAGCACAGAGGGGACTACACCTGGGAATCAAAAAGAACTACAACGCGTGGAAAATCTTCGACGTCCACTCCAAGGAAACAGTAGCAGCACGTGATGTAATTTTCTATGAACGACTCACACTCCAGACATACCTTACCAACCTGCAAGAAGACCAGGATCCCACAGGTGGCTTTCGTGGTGACCGAGCCTTCGCCTCAGCAGCGGACAAAGCTGACTAGGACGAGCAGAATGTGGACAACGCATCAGAAGAAGCCGGACCTCTTCCGTTCTGCTCCGTCAACGTTCCCATGGACAAAGATAACCCTCGCGAAAGTGTCAACGCCGAAACCTTATACTATTTTGCCGACAACGGTTACGTAACACCTGCGACAGTCAACACCAACGAAGCAGAACGAGTAGGACCGAACTTCATACCTGATCCAGAAGCGGGAGATGAAGCAGCTTATCCCGAGGACATAAATCTTCCCTGCTACTCACAGAGTGGACTGCGGATTCTCTGACTCGTCACCGCAGTCCACGGCACCGCCACTCCTAAAGAGCCTGCGACAGTTCAACAGGCTCTGCGGGGGGAACATAAGGAAAAATGGCGCGAAGCCATGGACAAGGAGCTGAAGGCACTGGAGGAACGCAACACGTGGAAAATGGTTCCTATCGGCGTGGCTCGGAATAAGACAGTGCTGACCGGGAAGTGGGTCTTCCGTGTGAAGACAAAGGCTGACGGTACCATTGACAAATTTAAAGCTCGCTTGGTTGTACGCGGCTTCGACCAAGAACACGGACGAGACTTAACCAAAACTTTCGCTCTGGTTAGCCGCCACACCTCACTACGCATTCTCCTCGCAATCGCCGCCATGAAGAAGAAGTTGCGACAAATTGACGTCGCGAACGCGTTTCTCTACGCACCTGATGATGCAGAAATTTTCGTCGAACTACCGCACGGCTCCCACAGAGAACCCAACCAAGTCTGCCAGCTACTCAAGTCACTCTATGGCATCAAGCAGGCTCCACGACTGTGGCAACAGTACCTGCACGCTTGCCTCATCCGCATCGGCTTCAAGAAACTACCGCACGATCAAGGCATGTAACGGCTCACAAAAAACGACGACTACATCCTACTAATCGTCTACGTGGACGATCTCCTTTACATCGGCTCAACTGACGGCATCACTATCTGGTTTGAAGGGGAGCTGCATCGAGATCTCACGCTCACAGTTTCATCTACCGTCACTCAGTACCTCGGCCTCAACATCCGGGAAGAGGAGGACGCGATGTACCTCAGCGCCGAGAAATATGCCGACACTATTGCCAAACGCTTTACGCTCACACCGAAAGCCATCTCCACGCCATACCGATACACGGAAGGGAACGACAAAGGAAGCTCCGCTCTACTTAAGCCTGCCGGCATACGAGACTACCAGAAGAAGCTGGGATGTCTTCTCTTCGCAGCCGTCACCTGTCGCCCCGACCTCTCATACTCCGCAAGCCAGCTCTCCACCTACCTCAAGAAGCCTGAAGTAGAACATCTAGCGGAGCTCGACCGCGCTCTTCACTACTTCGTCAGCACCCCAACGATCGGCCTAACTTACTACAAGAACGCAACCACATCGACTAAGTTAATCGGCTACGTCGACGCTGATCACGCTGGCGACTCCGACAATAGGCGCTCCCGCACCATCTACATCTACCGCCTTGTGAGGGAATGAGTGTCACTAGTGCGGAGGTGCGTAATGAGGTCAGCGACTGTGGGAAAGGCAGCAAGGTCAGGGAAGAGGTACGGTACCATGAGGCGGCTCAGTGCAGCAATGGCAGGGGAAGAGTAGCGCGCAACTACAGCGTCGTACAAGGTCTGAGTGCTCTTGTACTGACTAAATTGCGCGCGCTCAGTGGTAGGCAGGTGGCGACGCACAGCAAGACGTGCAGCAGCATCGCGCGTGGCCCACTGGGAGCGAACAGTGGGGTCAGCATCAGCAGCAGGGGCAGGAGAGGCGCCAGAGGTGAGGTCAAAGAGGGAGAGACCGTCTGCCCTATCGCACTGTAGGAAGAGCTGCAGGTCATCTACCCAAACCTCAAAGTCAATGGCTCGACCCTCAGCGTCAAAAGCGAGAACACTAGGGGTAGCCATGACAGCAGTAGACTAGCAGGACAGTGACAGACGCGCTGCTCTCACCAGACAGGGCAGGTCGGGCAGCTCAGCAGTACAGCAACACAGCTGCTCGGACGGCACAGCAGCGACTGCGGCTCCGTGGTACCAGCGGCTCAGCTGCGCAGGCGGCTCGGGCGGCTCGGGCGGCTCGGGCGGCTCGGGCGGCTCGGGTGGCGCGGTCGGCTCGGGCGGCTCGGGCGGTCGGGCGGCTCGGGCGGCTCGGGCAGCTCAGGTGGCTCGGGCGTTCGGGCGGCTCGGGCTGCTCGGGCGGCTCGGGCGGCTCGGGCGGTCGGGCGATGCGAGCGGCTCGGGCGGCTCGGGTGGCGCGGCCGCAGTGGAAGGGCGGTGGGGCCGCGAGTAGGGCGGCGGGGCCGCTGTAGTAGGGCGGCGGGGCCGCAGTAGTAGGGCGGCGGGGCCGCAGTAGTAGGGCGGCGGGGCCGCAGTAGTAGGGCGGTAGGAGCCGCGAGCAGGGCGGCGGGGCCGCTGAGAAGGGCGGCGGGGCCGCAGTGGAAGGGCGGCGGGGCCGCTGATTAGGGCGGCGGGGCCGCAGGGGAAGGGCGACGGGGCCGCTGATTAGGGCGGCGGGGCCGCAGTAGAAGGGCGGCCAGAGGCCGCTGAGTAGGGCGGCGGGGCCGCTGAGTAGAAGGGCGGCGGGGCCGCTGTCAAGGGCGGCGGGGCCGCTGAGAAGGGCGACGGGGCCGCCGAGTAGAGCGGGGCCGCAGAGTAGGGCGGCGGGGCCGCTGAGACGGGCGGCGGGGCCGCAGTGCAGGGCGACGGGGCCGCCGAGACGGGCGGGGCCGCAGCGACGGGCGACGGGGCCGCTGAGACGGGCGGCGGGGCCGTAGTGCAGGGCGACGGGGCCGCTGCGACGGGCGGCGGGGCCGTAGCGCGGGGCGACGGGGCCCGCGAAGAAGGGCGGCGGGGCCGCAGAGACGGGCGACAGGGCCGCACTGAAGGGCGGCGGGGCCGACTCGACGGGCGGCAGAGCCGCTAGGGCGTAGGAGCCGCTAGGGCGGCTCGACGAGGTAAGAGCCCGGAGCGCGACTCGGGCGGAGCGCGCTTCGGGCAGGAAAAAAAAAAGAGAAATCGATGTGGTGGGCCCTAGGCACAGTTCCCACGGGGGAACCTGCTCGATACCATGAGGGAATGAGAACGAGAATGATACACTAAGGAATGGAAGTGATACAAATATGCAACCCTAGAACTGTGTACCCCATATGGGCTACCCCACTATAGCCTACAGAATATTATAGTTTGACACCTTGAACCTATCCGACCTATCTCTTGGCAATCGAGCTGTCAGAACATTATAGCTTATACATTTGTGTAGGTTGTAGTGGGGTAGCCCATAAGGGGTACAACCCAATTAGGGTTTGTACTTGTACCCAACTGTTTCATAGTTCATTCATCCATTCTCATTTCTCGTCATGGTATCGAGCAGGTTCCCGAGTGGGAATGCTGCCTGGGGCCCACCACAATTTTTTTTCCCCTGCCCGGAGCGCGCTTCACTCCTACCCGAGTAGCGCTTCGAGTGCCTTACCTACCCTCGAGTCGCCCTTAGTGGCCGCCCTTACGGCCCCTCGCGCCGCCTTCTCTAGCCCCTTACGGCCCCGCTTAGGCCCCTTACGGCCCCGTCGCGGCCTCGCCTAGGCCCCTCCGCGGCCCCGTCTGGCCCCTTACGGCCCCGCTTAGGCCCCTTACGGCCCCGTCGCGGCCTCGCCTTGGCCCTTCCACGGCCCCGTCTGGCCCCTTACGGCCCCGCTTAGGCCCCTTACGGCCTCGTCGCGGCCTCGCCTAGGCCCCTCCGCGGCCCCGTCTGGCCCCTTACAACCCCTTACGGCCCCGCCTAGTACCCTCCGCGGCCCCGTCTGGCCCCTTACGGCCCCGCCTAGGCCCCTTACGGACCCTTCGCGGCCTCGCCTAGGCCCCTCTGCGGCCCCGTTTGGCCCCTTACGGCCCCGCCTAGGCCCCTTACGGCCCCTTGCGGCCCCTTACGGCCCCTTGCGGCCCCTCCTAGGCCCCTCCGCGGCCCTGTTTGGCCCCTTACGGCCCCGCCTAGGCCTCTTCCGGCCCCGCCTAGGCTCCTTACGGCCCCTCTGCGGCCCCGCCTAGGCCCCGCTGCGGCCTAGTCTGGCCCCTTTACGACACCGTTTCGGCCCCTCTGCGGCCCTGTCACCACCTGCGGCCCCGCCGCCACCTGTGGCCCCGCCGTCACCCGCGACGCCGCCGCCGGGCAGCACAGCAGCCAAGCCGCCCAGCAGCCGAGCCGCCTAGCAACCGAGCCGCCGTGCCGCCGAGCCGCCCAGAAGCCGAGCTGCCCTGCCGCCGAGCCGCCCAGCAGCCGAGCCGCCCAGCAGCCGAGCCGCCCTGCAACCGAGTCGCCCTGCCGCCGAGCCGCCCTGCAGCCGAGCCGCCCTGCCGCCGAGCCGCCCTACTGTCTAGCAGCTGCTGTTCCTACCTGTGCTACCCGGCCCCTCCTTCCTCGGACTGGTGAGCTCACTTCCTCCTAGGTCACTACAGTCATGGCTACCCCCAGTGTCCTCACTTTTGATGCTGAGGGCCGTGCCGTTGACTTTGAGGTCTGGGTCGATGACCTCCAGCTGTTTCTTCAGTGCGATAGGGCAGACGGCCTCTCCCTGTTTGACCTCACTTCTAGTGCCTCTCCTGCCCCTGCTGCTGATGCTGATGCCACTGTTCGCTCACAGTGGGCCACGCGCGATGCTGCTGCTCGCCTTGCTGTGCGCCGCCACTTACCGACCACTGAGCATGCACACTTTAGCCCGTACAAGAGTGCTCAGACCTTGTACGACGCTGTAGTTGCGCGCTACTCTTCCCCTGCCACTACTGCACTGAGCCGCCTCATGCTACCATACCTCTTCCCTGACCTTGCTGCCTTTCCCACAGTCGCTGACCTCATTACGCACCTCCGCACTAGTGACACTCGCTACCGCGCTGCGCTTCCTGCTGAGTTCTGTGCCAAGAACCCCCCCCCCCCCATGTACATCACCCTCTACTACATAGTCACCCGGCTCCCTGACTCTCTCCGCGTAGTCAGGGACCACTTCCTCTCAGTTTGCCCCACCACTCTCACCGTTGACCTCCTCGGGAAGGCCCTCCTAGCGATAGAGAAGAGCATAGTCACTGTAGGAGCCTCTCGTGGTGACCCCCGCACCCCCGTCTTTGAGGGGTGTTCTCCCTCCCCCCTCTTGCTCTCTGTTGCCTCTGCTGCTGCGGCCGACCTTGTTGGTTTCGAGTCGGTCGGCGTTACGTCTGCCCCGAGCGGGAGACGCCGCACCGGCAAGGGCAAGGGGGGCAAGGGCGCTGGAGGGGCTGGAGGGGGCGGTGGAGGTGGTGGTGGAGGCAGTGGAGGGAGTGGGGGTGGTGGTGGGAGTGGTGCCGGGGGTGGCGGCGGCGGCGGCAGCAGTGGAGGCGGCGGAGGCGGTGGCAAGAATTAATTGCTCTCTCATCAGCTGAAGCAGAATATATTGCACTCTGCTCAGCCACCAAAGAAGGACTCTATCTTCGCGAGCTGCTGGAAGAAGCGAAGTTAGCCGAGTTACCCAACTTTACCCTGTTCTGCGACAACCAGTCGGCAATTCGCATCGCCAACAAGAACGGCTTCTCGAACAGGACGAAACACATCGCCCTGCGATATTTCTTCGTGAAGGATGAGATCGAGAAGGGAAGGCTCGAGCTGTCATACTGTCCCACGCCCGAGATGGCAGCTGACTACCTGACCAAGAAGCTCGGAAAGCTAATGTTCGAATACTTCATGCTGCTGACTGGACAGAGCCACGTCAGCGACACTCCAGAAGCGAAGGGGAGTGTTGGAAACAATCGGTCCTAAGCGCCTCTATCGTGTCGAAACACTAAGGCACAAGCGAAGCAAAGCATACCGGTATCGAGGCACCAGCGAGTCAACCCTCAGAGGTTGAAGTAACTGCTGGAGGTTACGCGAAAGTCAAAGGTCAGCGACCTTTGACCTGACAAATACAGCGCGGCAGCAAGGACACACAACTGACTCGTTACAGAGCAGTTGCCCGAGTCGTCACTGTATCGAACCGCAACAGCAACAGTAAAGTAGTTATAATTGTGTCTCTTCATATTCCCTGTATTCATATATATAATCTTGTATCTCTTTGCTTTAATCAACTTACTTTGCCTTCACATACTAGCGCAAGGTGGTTCACAACTCTTTATTAACGCTTCCGCTACTACACCAACTCTACCCAGAGTTCACCTCTGCAAAGATCCTAAGGGCTTTTTCAGCCCAACAGGAACTCGCAGAAGCAAGAGCTGGTTGCCCTGTCATCAACGGAAGCTGAGTTCATCGCAGCAACAGCAGTTGTTCGCGAAGGCCTCTACCTTCAGAAGCTGCTGCAGGAGGCGAAAATCCCTAACTCAGCAAACTTTCGCCTTTACTGCGACAACCAGAGCGCGATCAGAATTGCGAACAAGCCAGGATTCGTCAACCGCACCAAACACATCGCGCTGCGGTACTTCTTCGTCAAAGACGAAGTTGACAAAGGCAAGGTTGACCTAACCTACTGCCCAACGGTTGACATGGCAGCAGACTTCTTCACGAAGAAACTGCCACGCCAGCAGTCCCAGCACTGCTAAGAAATCAGCGGAGTAGTCAAGCGGGTCTAGACTCGCTACGGCCAGGAGTGAAGGGGGGTGTTACGAATAGTGATCACCTGAAGCACTACTGTACACTCCTCTCCGCAGCAACCGAAGCACAGACTACCGAGAATGAAGATGAAAGGGCGCAAGTGACACGAAGAGTCACACGGTTATGAAGAGCATCTGGACCGTCGGGCAGACAGCATCAAGCAGCAGCAGTGACGAGGATTCTGCCCGAAATGTTGCGCAACCACTCGGAGTCGCACGGTTGGATTTCACTGCAATAAGGGAATGTACCCCTTAGAGTATATGGCTACTTAGGACGCTTCGAATTCCCTTGTACTCTTATTTATATTTCTTGCACTGCATGTTTTTATTATCTCAAGCATTTACATTCACTCTGCTATTTGAGATCAAGGGCCCACCACCACTAGACTAGAACTGTGCGAACCTTCATGAGGTAATCCTGAGGGCGATCATTTTCTGATCGCAGCACCCTACAATATCAGTAAATTTTCCCTGAAATTCCTGATTTTCAGCCTACTTTTGTGTACCTACCCTGATTTTTCAGTGTCTAGATTTTTGTGAGACTGATTTTTCGGCCTTCATTTCATAGTTAACACTGAGTTTTCAGGCTTTAATCGAAGTGTACACTGAATGCACATTCCTATACCTTACTGGAAAACGCCGAGATGACCACCTTCAAACAAAAGTAGTACAATTAAAATAAAGTTTGATTGACAACAGCTTCGTGGTCCCTTTCAATATTCGCTGTCGAACGGTAAGGTCCGAGGTTTGATTCCATGGGCTGGCCTAATTTTGGTAAGACTGATTATACAGTGGATTTCGTGTTGGAAAAAAATCAGGGTTGTTTTCTGAAAAACCCTGGAAAATCAGGGATTTTTTTTTAGGAACACTGAAAATCAGCCTTTCTTCTCACCGGGACCCTGATGCATCAACGTCCCTAAAAGTGAATCTGAGGGCCTGTTTACAACTCCTGACAGGTTCAGTGATACCGTAAAACCAAGGGAAAGGAAACTAATTGCTTATGTCCACTTTGCCGCCACATGTCATTCAAAGAGAGGACTGCCAGTGCCATACTGTGTGGAGGTCTCTTCCTCCTCGTCGTCCCCATCGCCTCCCTGCGAGCAATGATATGAGAGACAAGTGTTAGCCATGCACTGTGTGGTTGATGACCATCCAGCCAGCAACACAAGAAATAGACAATGATGGTGTGGTGTGCAATAGCAGTGGGATCTGTGCGGCATGAGTAGTACCGTGCAATAATGGATGGTATGGAACAGCACAGCATGGAGTGTGATGTGGGTATGTCATGACTTATCATCCCATGGCATGTCATGATAAGTCAAGGATCACCTTTAGAAGTCGGTCGATGCGATTGAGCCCTCTCTTGGCGTTTTCATTGGTCGGATTGATGCTGACATGGCAGTTTGTGCAGGGGCAAAGAGGTGCATGCAAAAGGCAGCACACTCTCATTGAGATAATGGTTGTGCGCAGGCACAAGACTTAGCATACTGGTGGGTGAATGCATGCGGATCTAGCATGTTTCAAGCCGGCGTGCTGACATGTGGCGTGCTGACATGTAGCGTGCTGACATGTGGCGTGTTGACATGTGGCGTGCTGACATGTGGCGTGCTGACATGTAGCGTGCTGACATGTGGCGTGCTGACATGTGGCGTGCTGACATGTAGCGTGCTGACATGTGGCGTGTTGACATGTGGCGTGCTGACATGTGGCGTGCTGACATGTAGCATGCTGACATGTGGCGTGCTGACATGTGGCGTGCTGACATGTAGCGTGCTGGAATGCTGGCATGCATACAAGCAGAGTACTAACCGGGGGGAGGAAACTGGAAATGGAATACTGGGCAAGAGATGCCATGGCATGTCATGGGATGTCATGGCATGTCATGGGATGTGTCATGTTTGATCATATGGGACAAAAAATGCCACGTCATCATCACCTGAGGGCCGTCTGCAGATGGTGCAGAGCGTCGGGCAGCCGGTTGGCCGCCATGTGGACAAACCCCAGCTTCACGTGGATCCAGTCAGCAGCGTCCACTGCCAGGTGGCGCTCCAGCCTGGTGGTGCACACATGCATGGAGAGGAAGAGGGAGAGGGAGAGGGAGAGGGAGAGGGAGAGGGAGAGGGAGAGGGAGAGGGAGAGGGAGAGGGAGAGGGAGAGGGAGAGGGAGAGGGAGAGGGAGAGGGAGAGGAAGAGGGAGAGGGAGAGGGAGAGGGAGAGGGAGAGGGAGAGGAAGAGGGAGAGGGAGAGGGAGAGGGAGAGGAAGAGGGAGAGGGAGAGGGAGAGGGAGAGGGAGAGGGAGAGGGGGGTGGCCTATTGCAGAGTAAGGAAGGATTCGAACCGCCTCTGGCTGTTACTGGGCGCCTCGTATCCTGCACGCACTGCAGCCCGGTGGTATGGAAGGGGGAGGGAAAGGGAAAGGGGTGTGTGAGAGGAAAGGCAAGTCCACACAGGAAAGCACTCACTCGTCCACCACAGCAGCACTGTACTACCTACCACCACTCAATGCTCTGCTGCACCAATTACGATTTCCCTCATGATTCTCCGAGGAACTGCATGCAGAGGAGACAAAATTCATGACACCGTGCTGCCACTCACACGTCAACGGCAGCAGCGTGCCGCCCGTCCGTCCATGCTGTGCTGCTGCCCATACTGTGCCTTACAACAATTCATCAGGAGAGATTTCGAAACGCTCACAGGTGTTCACAGGGGTTCGCAGGACTACTCATCCGCCCGTCCGTCCATGCTGTGCTGCTGCCCGTGCTGTGCCTTACAACAATTCATCAGGAGAAGTTCCCAGGCGTTCGCAGGGGTTCACAAGGGTTTACAGGGGTTTTCAGGATTACCCAGCCACTCACACGTCCACGGCAGCAGCATGGCGGCCGTCCATGCTGTGAGCGTCTGCCAGGCCCATGCTGTGCCTTTCGGGGGTTCATATGCGTTCACAGGGGTCCACAGGGGTCCACAGTGGTCCACAGGGGTCCACAGGGGTCCACAGGGGTCCACAGCGGTCCACAGGGGTCCACAGGGGTCCACAGGGGTCCAAAGGGGTCCACAGGGGTCCACAGGGGTCCACAGGGATCCACAGGGGTCCACAGGGGTCCACAGGACCAGCCACTCACACGTCCACGGCAGCAGCATGCCGCCCGTCCATGCTGTGAGCGTCTGCCAGGCCCATGCTGTGCCTTTTGGGGGTTCATATGCGTTCACAGGGGTCCACAGGGGTCCACAGAGGTCCACAGGGGTCCACAGGGGTCCACAGAGGTCCACAGGGGTCCACAGGACCAGCCACTCACACGTCAACGGCAGCAGAATGCCGCCCGTCCATGCTGTGAGCGTCTGCCAGGCCCGTGACAGCAGCACCACAGCGCCCGTCCATCCTCAGTGCCGCCTCAAACACCTTGCGCGCCTGATGTGTGCATGTGTGTGTGCGTGTGTGTGTGCGTGGGCGTGCACGTGCGTGTGTGTGTGAGGGAAAGACGGGAGGTACATGAGGTTATTAGCTCATTCCGTGACAGCAGCGCCACAGCGCCCGTCCATTCTCAGTGCCGCCTCAAACACCTTGCGCGCCTGGTGTGTGCGCGTGTGTGTGCGCGTGTGTGTGCGCGTGTGTGTGCGCATGTGTGTGCGCGCGCATGCACGCGTGTGTGTGTGAGGGAAAGACGGGAGGTACATGAGGTTATTAGCTCATCCCGTGACAGCAGCGCCACAGCGCCCGTCCATCCTCAGTGCCGCCTCAAACACCTTGCGTGCCTGCAACAACAAGGGGGGGGGATTAACAGGGGGGGGGGGAACAACAGGGAAGCAACTGGTGTGAAAGTGGCAGCACCACAGCGCCCGTCCATCCTCAGTGCCGCCTCAAACACCTTGCGCGCCAGCATGCAGTGGTGTATGTGTGTGTTGAGGGGAGAGGGAGCGAAGGGGGTGGGGAGATGAGGGCAGGTACAAGAGGGCATCAGCTGATCCCGTGACAGCAGCACCACAGCTGCCGTCCAGTCCATCCTCAGTGCCGCCTCAAACACCTTGCGCGCCTGCAGTGGTGCAGGGGGGGAAGGTGGGTGGAAGAGACGAAACAAGGGGCTACAAGGGGGAAGGAGCAGCAGGAACAGATGCCGCCACAGCGGCCGTCCATCCTCAGAACCGCCTCAAACACCTTGCACACCTGCACTGTGTGTGTGCGTGTGCGGGTGTGAGTGGAAGTGGGAACGGTGTGTATGTGTGTGTGCACGCGCGCGTGCGCGCGTGCAAGTGGAGGGAGAGAAGGGAAGGAGGAATTTGCACAAGGCATAAATGACCACATGACATGGCATAAAAAGGACCGTGATACACATCGTGTGACTGAGGGTTGATACACTCAACGCTCCTTCATCAGTGCTGCCTCCGTGTTAAATCTCACAGCACTCGAAAGGGACCGTAGAGTCAACAAGAAAAAAAGATTTGAAGGGCGTGGTTACGTTACCTTGTCCCTGCTGTCGCCGTGCTGCAGATACACCTCCCCCAGAAGAGACAACGCGCTGGCAGAGTTGGGAAACGCCTTGACTGCCTCCCGAGCCGCTGCTATGGCCTCCTTCAGCTTCGGAATCCGCAGGTAGGCTCGGACCAGACCTAGATGGGAGGTCCGGGGTCCAGCAGGCAGAAAAGGATCGTCAGGCTCGGATCGGGCCGAAGTTGACAGGAGCTGACAGGAGTTGAGAGAGGGAGTTGGTGGAACATAGCCCACCCCGAAAAAAATTTCCCCCAACTACGCCCACAAAATGCCTCTCCCGTATCCACCTTGCAACAGGGCACATCCTGCTATTGCGTGTACGCCCTCCAGAAAATAGCTGCTGCTTTTGAAGCACCTTCAACATTTTTCCCCACCACAACCAACCCCCCAACCCACACCTTACCCACCTTGGAACACCCGCAGGTCCTGCTTCTTTTCTGTGTTGATGCCTTCCAAAAAATGGCTGCTGTCTGGGTGTAGGCCCCATTCATCTCCTCCCCTACTCCCCGCCGACCCACCACACTTTCCCCCTCTGTACCCACCTTGGAACACCCGCAGGTCCTGCTTCTGCGTGCAAGCTCTCCAAAAAATGGCTGCTGCTTTTGTGTAGGCCTCCTTTTCACCTTCTTCCCCCACACAGCCCCCCTCCCACCCCCCTCCCCTCACCTTGGAACACCCGCAGGTCCTGCTTCTGTGTGTAAGCTCTCCTTTCACCTCCTCCTCCTCGCCCACACATACCCAACGCCACCCGCCCTTCTTCCCGCCACACCCCTCCCCCTCACATTGGAACACCCGCAGGTCCTGCTTCTGTGTGTAAGCTCTCCGAGAAATGGCTGCTGCTGCTGAGGCGCCTCATAACCTTCCCCATCCTCCCCTCCCCCAATGCTACCCCCTCACCTTGGAACACCCGGAGGTCCTGCTTCTGTGTGTAGGCCCTCCGGAAGATGGCAGCTGCTGCAGACGCCACTGCTGCTGATTCCGCCCGCTCGGTTTGCAGCAGAATGGCGCCCTGGTGGGGGTTCGGGGGAGGGAGGGAAAGGTGGGGTGGAGAGGTGTGGAGAGGGGTGGAGTGGGGTGGAGTGGGGTGGAGAAGGGTGGGGTGGATCTGAACGAATGCCTGAGGGGAGTGCTTGGCTTTGGGGCCACTGCTGCTAGCTCTGACTGCTCTGCTTGTAGAAGGATGGCGCCCTGATGGGCGATGGGAGTGGGGGTGGGGGAACGGGGGGAAGAAGAGGGGGAAAGCAGAGGGAGGGGGGTGCGTCTAAGCGCTCTGCTTGCAGCAGAATAGCGCTGATGGGGGATTGGGGTGGCGGAACAGGGGGAAGCAGGAGGGGAACGCAGAGGGGGATACGTAAAAACGCCACTGCTGCTGACTCTGACCTCTCCGCCTGCAGCGGAATGGCACACTGATGGGGATCGAAGGTGGTGCGGCCGTGGGGGAGAATGGGGGTTGGGTGGGGTGACGCGACTGCTTGAAATCTGAGCCACTGCTGCTGACGCTGAGCTCTCTGCTTGCAGCAGAATAGCGCTCTGATGGGGGATGGGGTTGGGGGAAAGGGGGGAAGCAGGGGGGAAAATCAGACGGGGGTACGTCTCAAAACGCCACTGCTGCTGACAGTGACCGCTCGGTTTGTAGCTGATATTTTTGAGTTTCAAAAAAATACCTGCAATGGCACCCTGTTGGGGAATCGTGGGGGGAAGAAGGGAAGGAGGGAGGAAGGGGAACGGTGGGACGTCTCAAAACGCCACTGCTGCTGACAGTGACCGCTCTGCCTGCAGCGGAATGGTACACTGGCGGGGATTGCAGGTGGTGGGGGCGTGGGGGAAACGGGGGTTGGTGTCACCAAATATAATGGTAAGAGCATCATATTGGAGACATATGCTAATTGGGTGTAGAAGTGGTGTAGCGAGTGTTATTCAATCTGCATGTGGAGTAGTTGGGTTATAGAGAGTAGCGAGAAGTTGGTAGCATTGGGGGTTACAGGGCGCTTCGGGGACAATTTCAGGAACCTCGGGAGACAGGCAATCTGGCGAGGGCCACTCCAAGGCCTAGGCGGCTCGAGCTCAACCCAGCACGCTGAGTTACTCGCGACTGGGCAGCCAAGCACAAATAGCCTAGCCTAGCATAGCAAACCTGTTCTCTTGTCTTGTTTGCCTCATATAGTGGATAACGTTACCGCAACAAGGCTACGCTAGCTAGGTGACTACGCCACTGTGGGCAGCCATCGTGTGGGAGAGTAAACTTCTCACAAGACGAGAGAAGCAGATAGGCAGTATGGACTGCCATGAGCTGCGGTGGCAGCGGACGTACTCGCGGCGGGAGATACCGCCGTCCCGAAGGATGCGCTCAAAGGAGCGGGGAAGATCGCCAGGTCGCTCGCCTAGCAGAGAGGCGGATCGGGCAGATTGGATGGCGACCAGTGACGGACTGCACGATGAAGGCGAGCTGGGTCTGCAGATGAGATGGGCGCCAGGACCCCAGCCGTCGAAGAGCGATCCCTGGGATCTGGCAAGAGGAGCGATCCCTGGGATCTGGCAAGAGGCCAGCGGGGCGCGGGAGTAAGGCGTCAGGAGGATGCCGATGAGACGGACTCGCTGATGTTGGCAAAGGAGGCCGACGGCGAGGAGTTGGCGGAGGATGATCCCATGGACGAGGAAGAAGATCACTCGCCGGGCGACATGCGCAAGGCAGGCGAGAGGCGTCGTGGAGAAAAACGTGAAGAACGCGGAGAGGCGACGGGATTAAATCGCTCGACAGACGAAGTGTGTGGGAGTGGCGCAAGGCGACGCGGGAGCGCGGAGGCAGATGGCGCGACCGACAAAATGGGTGGGGGCGGCGCGAAACGCCAGGGGAACCGCGCGGATGCAGAGCGTGCGCCAGAGGAGGTGCGCGGGAAGGAAGCGAGGCGCAGCAGGAGCAAAGCAGCTGAGCCCTGGTCAAGGGAGCGAGGGGAGGAGGAGAAGAGGCGTGCTGCACCAGCAGGAGTGTATCGTTCGCCCGAGCCAGGACAAGGCCGTGCGGGCAGGAGGCGTATGGCGATGGGAGAAGGGAGATCGCTGGAATGGTCAGAAGAGGAGGAGGACGAGGATTACGAAGGAAAGCGCGTTCAGCACTCGCCAGCAAGGAGGCGGCGGCCAGCGGAGAAGGCGCGAGGCAGGGGTAGCATACGATCGCCACCCAGCGCCTCAAGGGAACAGGCGGGAGCGCGCCGTGAGAAAGCAGAAGAACACCTGTGGGCAGAGAGAAGGGCTGCAAAGGAAACAAGCGAAGAAGCAAGAAGGTGGCCCGAGAGAGAGAGCCGTGAGAGGAGGGGCGAAGGAGAGCGATACCAAGGGGGTGAAGAGGCAGGAAGAAAAGGGGAAACGGGGAAACGGGATCAGGAACGCCGAGGCTGGGAAGAGTGCGGAGATTATGAGGAAAGAGACAGGTCGGACTCACCGGAAAGAGACAGGTCGGACTCACCGGAAAGAGGAAGGGAGTGGAGGCGCGAGGAGGACTGGCGAGGCAAGAGAGAAGGTGTGCGGACACCAGAAGTCTCGAGGGCAGCAGAGAAGGAGCGACAGCGAGAGGACAGAGTGCGGCAGTACCAGGAGCGGTCCCCTGCAAGGGGAGAGAAGCGTCGGGAAGATGCAGAGAGGCGCAGGGGGGAGCGAGAAGATGCGCGAGGGAGGAGCCCTAGCCCGATGGGCCCGAGGAGGCCGGGGCGTCACGGCGTAGGATCTGCTGGAGCAAGAGCAGCTAGGGAGGGAATAGAGCGAGTGCTGTATGGAACCAGCACGGGCAGCAGGGGAGAAAGGGAAAGGAGGAGAGGGGTTATGATGTCTGAGCAAGGAGGGACGGAGAGCTGGGAAACAGGGAAGTGGGGGGCAACAGCACAGCCGCGAGTGGAGGTGCCAGTACGCTTCACGGGAAACGAGAAAACCGGCCCAAGTCTGAAGAACTATTTGATGCAGATCAGCAATGTTAAATACCGATGTGACAGAAGCGGGATGGACCCGATTGAGTTTTTTCTGAGCCTGCCAAGCACGTTGGGAGGGGAAGCAGAGACTTTGTATCGCATGAAGATGGGTGAATGGCTGTGGAGGGCAGAAGAGGATGACGAGGACCCGACGGTACTGTTCCTGGAGCGACTAAGGAAGCAGTTCCCTGGGCATACGGCAGCGCGCATCAGGGAATTCCAGGAGTTTAGGCGGAGGGACGAGGAGTCACTGCTGACATACTACAGACGGTTAATGAACCTGGCGGAAGACGTGGTGTGCACGGACAGCAGCATGATCATTAGCAAGTTTCTGAATGGTTTAGACAAGGGATTGGCAGGAGGGTTGAGAATGAGAGTCTATGAGCTAGGAGCAGATGCAACACCAGAGGAGGTATTCGAGTTAGCGGAAAGGGTGGAGCTGGCGCAGAGGAAGTATGAGGTATACCTGCCGAGGACGATAGAGAAGAAGAGTCCTACCTGGGCAGCGGCAATGATACCAGGGCAGGCGGAACAAAAGGGTCAGCAGAGGAGATTGAGAGCCAGATAAGGCAGTTGCGGGCGCAGCTGCAGGCCCTGGGAGGGAGTAAGGAGAAGCATGCAGTGACGCCATGCGGCTGCGCTGTGGGGGCAGGGACAGAGGAAAGGAGCGAGCCACGAAGGTGAGGGCATGGGCAGTGGCAGAAGGGGAACAGAAGGACGAGAAAGAGGAGGCGGAAGTGTGTGAATTAGTAGCAGCAGACACTGAAGGTAAGGATGAGAAGGTGAGGGCATGGGCAGCAGCAGAAGGGGAAGAGAAGGACGAGAAGGTGAGGGCATGGGCAGTGGCAGAAGGGGAAGAGAAGGGCGAGGAGAAGGAGGCAGGAGTGTGCGAATTAGTAGCAGCAGACACTGAAGGGAAGGATGAGAAGGTGAGGAAATGGGCAGCAACAGAAGGGGAAGGGAAGAATGAGAGAGAGGGGACCTGGGCGTGCGTACCAGTAGTAGCGGAAGCAGAGGAGAAGGATGAGCAGGTGGGGGCAGGAGTGGGTGTAATGGCAGCAGTAGAAGTAGAGGAGAGGGACGAAGAGGCGGGGGCAAGGGCGTGTGTACCAGCAGCAGAAGAAGCGGAAGGGAAGGGCGAGAAGGAGGGAGCGGTGAAGAAAGGAGGGAAGACGGGGCTGAGCAGTACAGACATGGGAGGGAATGGTTGGCAGCCATCGCTGAAGACAGCAGAGTTGTTCGGGGAAATCGGGGCAGGGGCGAAGACTGGTGTGACGATGAAGGATTGGATGCAAGCGCAGGGAAACAAGCTGGCGGAGCGGCATGTGAGGAAGCTGCGGGGAGGAAGGCCAGAGCTGCTGGGGGAAGCAGAGCGGGAGAGTAAGGAAGTGGGGGCATGGGAGCCCCTAGCAACAGGGGAAAAGGTAGACCATACAATGGAAGAGGCGGAGAACCGGGCGGCATGGGAGCGAGCTAAGGCAGCGGAATACTTGCAGGAGGTGATACCGGTGGCGGTGGACGACCTACATACCGTGCAGTTGAGGGATGCGTGCTGCTGTGAGAAGTGGCAGCAGCAGGAAGGCAAGGGGATAAAGGCGGCTATAGAGGTGGGACGGGAAGAGAGGGGCAAAGAAGGATACACTAGCTGTGGAATAGGGAAGAGCGAAGGGGAGGGCGCAAGCAGTGCGAGGCGTGGGAGTGCTAGTGTTGGAGAAGAAGAAGGGAGAACAGACCGGGGACCACCACACCCGCACGGCAGGACTGAAGAGCAGCCGTCCTCAGCTGAGAGTCCTGTGTCTCGCGCCCGAGCAGCTCGAGCACGAGCACAGGAGGGGGCAGGTAGTGGCTGAGAACGCAGAAGGGAACAGGGTAACAGGAGTGGGGACAGCACAAGGTGGGGAAAGGCGAGAATAAGAAGGAAGGGAAGAAGGTGAGGACACAAGGCAGGGAAGAAGGTGAGGACACAAGGCAGGGAAGAAGGTGAGGACACAAGGCAGGGAAGAAGGTGAGGACACAAGGCAGGGAAGAAGGTGAGGACACAAGGCAGGGAAGAAGGTGAGGACACAAGGCAGGGAAGAAGGTGAGGACACAAGGCAGGGAAGAAGGTGAGGACACAAGGCAGGGAAGAAGGTGAGGACACAAGGCAGGGAAGAAGGTGAGGACACAAGGCAGGGAAGAAGGTGAGGACACAAGGCAGGGAAGAAGGTGAGGACACAAGGCAGGGAAGAAGGTGAGGACACAAGGCAGGGACGAGGCAGGGGCGAGGGAGGAGTGAGGAAGGAGAAGGGAAGAACTCCGACATTGGGGTGACGCGAATGCTTGATATTTGAGCCTCTGCTGCTGACTGTGACCTCTTCGCCTGCAGCACAATGGCGCCCTGATGGGGGGTTCGGGGGAAGGGGGGGAAGCAGGCGGGGGGGAAGGCAGAGGGGGGGTATGTCTTGAAACCTCCCTGCTGCTGACAGTGACCGCTCTGCCTGCAGCACAATGGCGTCCTGATGGGGACGGAGGGGGGAGGAGAGAAGACGAAGGAGGGACGGATGCATTGAAAAGTTTGAAGAACCAACAAGCGCACATGGCATGAAGAGAGAGGGAGTTGGCTTTTGAGAATCCTCAAAAGGGACGGATGCATTGAAGAAGTCTGAAAACCAACAAGTGCACATGGCATGGAGAGAGAGGGAGTTGGCGTTGTGTGTAGCGTGGCAGTTCATATCAAAATAACGCGGCGATGAAAGGATGAGAAGGTGAGGGAAAGAGAGGGATTGTAAGGTGGGAAGGGGGAGGAGGGAGGGGAGAGTGGGGAGGGAGAGGAGGGTGGGGAGGGTGGGGAGGGTGGGAAGGTTGGGGAGGGTGGAGGGGTGGGGAGGTTGGGGAGGGAGGGAAGGGTGGGGAGGGTGGCGTAGGTGCACCTTAGCGAGGAGAGCTGGGAAGTGATGGTCGTCCAGTTGAAGCGCCTGGGGACGGACGCAAGGAGGAGGAAGGCGGGAGGGGGTGGGAGGGGGTGGGACGGGAGGGAAGGGAGGGAGGAGTGCAAAGGCAAGAGGAGGAAGGCGGGTGAGGAGAGCAGGGAAGTGATGGTCGTCCAGTTGAAGCGCCTGGGGGTGGACGTGGGGAGGGAGAGGGCAGGAGAGGAGGGAGGGAGAGGGCGGGAGGACTGGCAGGTAAGAGGATAAGATGGGCGCACAGAGCAGAATGGGGGAAATGGGTGCATAGAGCAGAATGGGGGAAATGGGTGCATAGAGCAGAATGGGGGAAAGCTGGAAAGTGGTGGTCGTCCCATCGAAGAGCCTGGGGGTGGACGGGTGGGGGGACGAAGGTAGGTGAGGGGCATGAGGGGGCGAGGATGAGCGTGAGAGAGATGGGAGTCTGACAAAGATGGGATCACGAAACACAGCCGCCACGTCCTCATACATACGCCACGTCCTCATACATACGCCACGTCCTCATACAGCCGCCCAGGATACTCATAAATACCTTATCCACATATGCCAGTGCACTGCCTCTTTCCCCCCGGCTCATCCACAGTGCTGCCGCCACCACCCACGCCTCCACCCTCCCTGCCCTCCCTTCATCCATACAACCACCCACCCATTCACCCACCTTATCCACATATGCCAGTGCACTGCCTCTTTCCCCCCGGCTCATCCAAAGCGCGGCAGCCACCACCCATGCCTCCACTCTCCCCGCCCCCACTCCCACCATCTCCGCTGTCAGCCTCCTCAGCTCCGCCCCCCCCGCTCCCCCCGCCCCCCCCGCTGCTCCCCCTCCCCCCACGCTGGCGTCGACTTGCAGGTTGGGGAGGGAGAGGGCGGAGGAGGCGGAGGGGGAGCGGCGGGAGAGGAGGAGCAGAGCGTAGTCGTCCATGCAGGCCACGTTGAAAGGGTCTAGAGTGCGGGCCTGGGGGTTGGAGGGGAGTAGGGATGGAAGGTGGGATGAGAGATGAGTGGCAACAAGGAGAAGGAGACAAGTGACAGCAGCAGCAGAGCATAGTCGTCCATGCAGGCCGCTTTGAAAGGGTTTAGGGTGCGGGCCTGGGGGGGGGTTGGAGGGGGTAGAGATGAGAAGGTGGAATGAGATGAGCGAGCCACAGCACCACCGCCAGCAGCACCAGCGTCAGAAGAGCATAGTCGTCCATGCAGGCGACATTGGATGGGTATAGGGTGCGGGCCTGTGGGGGGAAGGGGGTAGGAATGATGAGAAGGTGGGATGAGATGAGCGGCAGCAGCAGCAGGGAGCAGCGGGAGAGGGAAAGCATAGTCGTCCATACAGGCCACGTTGAAAGGGGTCTAGGGTGCGTGCTTGTGGGGGAAGGAGCAAGAAGGGGGCTGCTATTGCTGCTGGTGGAATGGGAGGGAATGGCGATTGGGACAAGTGGCACAACAGCCAAGGAGAAATGTCAGAACATCGGACGGAATCAGTTGCAGGGAAAGATGCGAGCTGAAGGGAAACAGAAAGAAAAAAGCATTTTGTTCTGGGAGTGACTATAACGAGAGCACCTTTTGGTAGTGTAGCATGGCCTCCTCATTGCGACCCTGCGATGCCTCCACCTGATGGGAATGCGAGAAGCACAGCAGAGGGCATGGCACAGGGCACGACACAAGAATGCAACTCTTGCTTTTGGGCTGCAGGCTGCATGGCATGGCATGATACAGCAGTACGAACTGGGATGGGTTGGGGCTAAGTGAGTGGGCGAGTGTGAGTGGGCGAGTGTGAGTGGGCGAGTGTGAGTGCAGGTGCGGGTGCACGTTGCTGACAAATCGAATCGAGGCAGCATAGGAGGTCCCTCACTCACCTCCCTCACTCACCTGCCCATATGCATGTGCAGGGAGCTCAACTGAAGGTCACTCACGCACCTGCCCCATGTGCAAGTGCAGGTAGCTCAACTAAATGTTTTTCTCTCACCTACCCCATGTGCATGTGCAGGTCACTTCCTCACCTGCCCCATGTACAGGTGCAGATGCACGTTGCTGGGGAAGCGAGTCAACAGCTGCTGATACTCGTCCACACAGGCTGTGGTGCCATGGGGTGAGGGGCGGGGTGGGGAGGCAGAGATTATGGGCATGGGAGATCGTGACAGCGGTGACGGTGGGGGGGTTGACGGGTGAGGGGTATGAGATATTTCAACCAGCTACTACAGTGTGGCCGGCGGGAGAATTATGGACATCAAAGTTAAGATTGACCAGTGGGACACGCATGTTGATCCAGTAGCAGTGGGACTTGTATCCGTGACTTGGCGGAGAAAGGCTCTCAAAACAAACATGAATGAAAGAGTATGTCCTATGTGCAGTCAACTGCATAGTGTATGTACTGCTGTGTTCCTTACATTTATCATCTGCCTGCACGCATGTGTTACTAAGTTACTTGCTCCCTGTTCTCACCTGCGTTCTCATTGGCTGCTCGGTGTGCCTGTGCCTCCACATACTTCTGCTCACCCATGCATGCATACAGGCACACGCACACATACGAATGCATGCTCCCCCATGCATGCAATCATTCAGGCACCCATACCCATGCATGCAATCATTCAAGCACCCATACCCATGCATGCAATCATTCAAGCACCCATACCCATGCATGCACCCACGTGCATGCACGGAACGGATGCATGCACCCCCATACACGCACCCATACACGCACCCATACACGCACCCATACACGCACCCATACACGCACCCATACACGCACCCATACACGCACCCATACACGCACCCATACACGCACCCATACACGCACCCATACACGCACCCATACACGCACCCATACACGCACCCATACACGCACCCATACACGCACCCATACATCCACCCATGCACACACCCATACACAGAAGTAGGGGTTAGTATGCTACAGTCACCACCTTGTACAATCACTACCTGATAGACTCACTACCAGATATTGTGACTATCTGATACACTCACAATTATAATCACAACCTGCTACAGTCACTCTACCTAGGAAAGTCACTCTACCTGATACAATAAACACCTGATACATTCACTGCCACAAACAGTCAACAGGCATTACCTGATACAGTCACTACCTGCAGCCACTTGCAAGACTCGTGCACTTCTCCTGTTGCTCCGGCCTTGCTGCCCCCTCTGCTGCTGGGTGTGCAGGGGAGGGGCTGGGGGGAGGGATGTGGTGCGGAGGATGGAAAGGACGGGAAGAGCAGGGGGGGTTGGCGGGGGGATGGCGATAGCATGAAGTGGGAACGAGGTGCCTTGCTGCCCTGCCTCCTCTGCTGCTGGGCGTGCAGGGAAGGGGCTGTTGAAGAACGAGGTGGGGAGGATGGGGAGGATGGGGAGGATGGGAGGGTGGGGAGGGTGGAGAAGATGGGGAGGGCACGGAGAGAAGGGGAGGGTCGGGGGGACGAGTGCGGCTTGTACTTGGTGGGGTGCTAGAGACCCTCCTCCTAGTGGTGCGAGTGTGGTAACTTGTGAGCCAGCTCGAAACGAATCAACACTCAAGAGCAGGGTCCATAGGAACAAAGAACTGCTTTTTGAGAATTCTCAAGAAACACACTCAAGAGCACGGCCCAGAGGAACCAAGAAGAAGTAGAAATCTATAGGCCGAAAACGGTTACCGCCATTTTTCACAAATTGTTTTAAGAAAACAAAATACCAAATTTAACTAGTACTAAGTCGCTGCCACGTAAAGATAATGGCTCCAACCTGGGGCTCCATCTGACGAATCAACACTCAAGAGCAGGGCAGAACCAAGAACTAGAAATCTGTTCTTCTGGTGAAATAGAATGAAGAATCACCTCCTGCTGCGGCAGCAGGGCGCACGTCACTTTGGCCGACAGCCCCAGCTGGTTTTGAGGTGCCTAAAAATGGACTTCTAGTGGTGCCAATTGCAGCTGCAGCGACACCAGACAAGGACTCACCTCCTGCTGTGGCAGCAGAGCGCATGTCTCTTTGGCTGACAGCCCCAGCTGTTTCAGAGGCGCCTCAGAAACTAGACTGCTTTTCCGGACAATGGCTCACCTCCTGCTGTGGCAGCAGGGCGCATGTCTCTTTGGCTGACAGCCCCAGCTGACCCACTGCTGTCACTGCCTCCATTGCGAATGGACACTGCCTAGTGGTGTAAAGGGGTGAAGAGGTGTGTGAAGGAGTGGTAAGGAGTGAGTGGTCGGCACAGAGGAGTGCGGCTTGCGGACAGCCTGAGCTGACCCCCTGCTGTCACTGCCTTCATGGCAAACGGACACTGCCTGGCGGTGTGGAAGGGTCAAGAGGAGTGTAGAGGAGTTATGGATGGTTTCTGTATCGCACAGATGAGTCTGGCTTTGTGGACAGCCCCACCTGCGCCACTGCTGTCACTGCCTTCATGGCAAACGGACACTGCCTGGCGGTGGGTTGGGGAGGGTCATGAGGAGCGCGGGGATGTGAAAGGGATGAAGGGTGTGGGATGCATGGGAGAGGAGGAACTAGCGGACACCTGAAGCAGCCGTGGTCACCTGAGGCACTGCAGGCACGGCACTGCAGTGGTCACCTAGTTTACTGGCAGCACCTGAGGCACTCCTTGTAAGCAGTGAGGGCAGCACGGTCGTAGCTGCTGGAGCGGTAGAGAGGCATGACTAGAGTGCAGCTAATTCACTGGCAGAAGCAACACGCACCTGAGGCATTCCTTGTATGCAGTGAGAGCAGCGCGGTCGTAGCTGCTGGAGCGGTAGAGAGGCACGACTAGAGTGCAGCTAATTCACTGGCAGAAGCAACACGCACCTGAGGCATTCCTTGTATGCAGTGAGAGCAGCACGGTCGTAGCTGCTGGAACGATAGAGAGGCACGACTAGAGTGCAGCTAATTCACTGGCAGAAGCAACACGCACCTGAGGCATTCCTTGTATGCAGTGAGAGCAGCGCGGTCGTAGCTGCTGGAACGATAGAGAGGCACGACTAGAGTGCAGCTAATTCACTGGCAGAAGCAACACGCACCTGAGGCATTCCTTGTATGCACTGAGAGCAGCGCGGTCGTAGCTGCTGGAACGATAGAGAGGCACGACTAGAGTGCAGCTAATTCACTGGCAGAAGCAACACGCACCTGAGGCATTCCTTGTATGCAGTGAGAGCAGCACGGTCGTAGCTGCTGGAACGATAGAGAGGCACGACTAGAGTGCAGCTAATTCACTGGCAGAAGCAACACGCACCTGAGGCATTCCTTGTATGCAGTGAGAGCAGCACGGTCGTAGCTGCTGGAACGATAGAGAGGCACGACTAGAGTGCAGCTAATTCACTGGCAGATGCAACACGCACCTGAGGCACTCCTTGTATGCAGTGAGAGCAGCACGGTCGTAGCTGCTGGAACGATAGAGAGGCACGACTAGAGTGCAGCTAATTCACTGGCAGAAGCAACACGCACCTGAGGCATTCCTTGTATGCAGTGAGAGCAGCATGGTCGTAGCTGCTGGAACGATAGAGAGGCACGACTAGGGTGCAGCTAATTCACTGGCAGAAGCAACACGCACCTGAGGCATTCCTTGTATGCAGTGAGAGCAGCACGGTCGTAGCTGCTGGAACGATAGAGAGGCACGACTAGAGTGCAGCTAATTCACTGGCAGAAGCAACACGCACCTGAGGCATTCCTTGTATGCAGTGAGAGCGGCACGGTCGTAGCTGCTGGAACGATAGAGAGGCACGACTAGAGTGCAGCTAATTCACTGGCAGAAGCAACACGCACCTGAGGCATTCCTTGTGTGCAGTGAGAGCAGCACGGTCGTAGCTGCTGGAACGATAGAGAGGCACGACTAGAGTGCAGCTAATTCACTGGCAGAAGCAACACGCTCCTGAGGCATTCTTTGTATGCAGTGAGAGCAGCACGGTCGTAGCTGCTGGAACGATAGAGAGGCACGACTAGAGTGCAGCTAATTCACTGGCAGAAGCAACACGCACCTGAGGCATTCCTTGTATGCAGTGAGAGCAGCACGGTCGTAGCTGCTGGAACGATAGAGAGGCACGACTAGAGTGCAGCTAATTCACTGGCAGAAGCAACACGCACCTGAGGCATTCCTTGTATGCAGTGAGAGCAGCGCGGTCGTAGCTGCTGGAACGATAGAGAGGCACGACTAGAGTGCAGCTAATTCACTGGCAGAAGCAACACGCACCTGAGGCATTCCTTGTATGCACTGAGAGCAGCGCGGTCGTAGCTGCTGGAACGATAGAGAGGCACGACTAGAGTGCAGCTAATTCACTGGCAGAAGCAACACGCACCTGAGGCATTCCTTGTATGCAGTGAGAGCAGCACGGTCGTAGCTGCTGGAACGATAGAGAGGCACGACTAGAGTGCAGCTAATTCACTGGCAGAAGCAACACGCACCTGAGGCATTCCTTGTATGCAGTGAGAGCAGCACGGTCGTAGCTGCTGGAACGATAGAGAGGCACGACTAGAGTGCAGCTAATTCACTGGCAGATGCAACACGCACCTGAGGCACTCCTTGTATGCAGTGAGAGCAGCACGGTCGTAGCTGCTGGAACGATAGAGAGGCACGACTAGAGTGCAGCTAATTCACTGGCAGAAGCAACACGCACCTGAGGCATTCCTTGTATGCAGTGAGAGCAGCACGGTCGTAGCTGCTGGAACGATAGAGAGGCACGACTAGAGTGCAGCTAATTCACTGGCAGAAGCAGCACGCACCTGAGGCATTCCTTGTATGCAGTGAGAGCAGCACGGTCGTAGCTGCTGGAACGATAGAGAGGCACGACTAGAGTGCAGCTAATTCACTGGCAGAAGCAACACGCACCTGAGGCATTCCTTATATGCAGTGAGAGCAGCGCGGTCATAGCTGCTGGAACGATAGAGAGGCACGACTAGAGTGCAGCTAATTCACTGGCAGAAGCAACACGCACCTGAGGCATTCCTTGTATGCAGTGAGAGCGGCACGGTCGTAGCTGCTGGAACGATAGAGAGGCACGACTAGAGTGCAGCTAATTCACTGGCAGAAGCAACACGCACCTGAGGCATTCCTTGTATGCAGTGAGAGCAGCGCGGTCGTAGCTGCTGGAACGATAGAGAGGCACGACTAGAGTGCAGCTAATTCACTGGCAGAAGCAACACGCACCTGAGGCATTCCTTGTATGCAGTGAGAGCAGCACGGTCGTAGCTGCTGGAACGATAGAGAGGCACGACTAGAGTGCAGCTAATTCACTGGCAGAAGCAACACGCACCTGAGGCATTCCTTGTATGCAGTGAGAGCGGCACGGTCGTAGCTGCTGGAACGATAGAGAGGCACGACTAGAGTGCAGCTAATTCACTGGCAGAAGCAACACGCACCTGAGGCATTCCTTGTATGCAGTGAGAGCAGCACGGTCGTAGCTGCTGGAACGATAGAGAGGCACGACTAGAGTGCAGCTAATTCACTGGCAGAAGCAACACGCACCTGAGGCATTCCTTGTATGCAGTGAGAGCGGCACGGTCGTAGCTGCTGGAACGATAGAGAGGCACGACTAGAGTGCAGCTAATTCACTGGCAGAAGCAACACGCACCTGAGGCATTCCTTGTACGCAGTGAGAGCAGCGCGGTCGTAGCTGCTGGAGCGGTAGAGAGGCACGACTAGAGTGCAGCTAATTCACTGGCAGAAGCAACACGCACCTGAGGCACTCCTTGTATGCAGTGAGAGCAGCACGGTCGTAGCTGCTGGAACGATAGAGAGGCACGACTAGAGTGCAGCTAATTCACTGGCAGAAGCAACACGCACCTGAGGCATTCCTTGTATGCAGTGAGAGCAGCGCGGTCGTAGCTGCTGGAACGATAGAGAGGCACGACTAGAGTGCAGCTAATTCACTGGCAGAAGCAACACGCACCTGAGGCATTCCTTGTATGCAGTGAGAGCAGCACGGTCGTAGCTGCTGGAACGATAGAGAGGCACGACTAGAGTGCAGCTAATTCACTGGCAGAAGCAACACGCACCTGAGGCATTCCTTGTATGCAGTGAGAGCAGCACGGTCGTAGCTGCTGGAACGATAGAGAGGCACGACTAGAGTGCAGCTAATTCACTGGCAGATGCAACACGCACCTGAGGCATTCCTTGTATGCAGTGAGAGCAGCACGGTCGTAGCTGCTGGAACGATAGAGAGGCACGACTAGAGTGCAGCTAATTCACTGGCAGAAGCAACACGCACCTGAGGCATTCCTTGTATGCAGTGAGAGCAGCACGGTCGTAGCTGCTGGAACGATAGAGAGGCACGACTAGAGTGCAGCTAATTCACTGGCAGAAGCAACACGCACCTGAGGCATTCCTTGTATGCAGTGAGAGCAGCACGGTCGTAGCTGCTGGAACGATAGAGAGGCACGACTAGAGTGCAGCTAATTCACTGGCAGAAGCAACACGCACCTGAGGCATTCCTTGTATGCAGTGAAAGCAGCACGGTCGTAGCTGCTGGAACGATAGAGAGGCACGACTAGAGTGCAGCTAATTCACTGGCAGAAGCAACACGCACCTGAGGCATTCCTTGTATGCAGTGAGAGCAGCGCGGTCGTAGCTGCTGGAACGATAGAGAGGCACGACTAGAGTGCAGCTAATTCACTGGCAGAAGCAACACGCACCTGAGGCATTCCTTGTATGCAGTGAGAGCAGCACGGTCGTAGCTGCTGGAACGATAGAGAGGCACGACTAGAGTGCAGCTAATTCACTGGCAGAAGCAACACGCTCCTGAGGCATTCTTTGTATGCAGTGAGAGCAGCACGGTCGTAGCTGCTGGAACGATAGAGAGGCACGACTAGAGTGCAGCTAATTCACTGGCAGAAGCAACACGTACCTGAGGCATTCCTTGTATGCAGTGAGAGCAGCGCGGTCGTAGCTGCTGGAACGATAGAGAGGCACGACTAGAGTGCAGCTAATTCACTGGCAGAAGCAACACGCACCTGAGGCATTCCTTGTATGCAGTGAGAGCAGCACGGTCGTAGCTGCTGGAACGATAGAGAGGCACGACTAGAGTGCAGCTAATTCACTGGCAGAAGCAACACGCACCTGAGGCATTCCTTGTATGCAGTGAGAGCAGCACGGTCGTAGCTGCTGGAACGATAGAGAGGCACGACTAGAGTGCAGCTAATTCACTGGCAGATGCAACACGCACCTGAGGCACTCCTTGTATGCAGTGAGAGCAGCACGGTCGTAGCTGCTGGAACGATAGAGAGGCACGACTAGAGTGCAGCTAATTCACTGGCAGAAGCAACACGCACCTGAGGCATTCCTTGTATGCAGTGAGAGCAGCACGGTCGTAGCTGCTGGAACGATAGAGAGGCACGACTAGAGTGCAGCTAATTCACTGGCAGAAGCAGCACGCACCTGAGGCATTCCTTGTATGCAGTGGGAGCAGCACGGTCGTAGCTGCTGGAACGATAGAGAGGCACGACTAGAGTGCAGCTAATTCACTGGCAGATGCAACACGCACCTGAGGCACTCCTTGTATGCAGTGAGAGCAGCACGGTCGTAGCTGCTGGAACGATAGAGAGGCACGACTAGAGTGCAGCTAATTCACTGGCAGAAGCAACACGCACCTGAGGCATTCCTTGTATGCAGTGAGAGCAGCACGGTCGTAGCTGCTGGAACGATAGAGAGGCACGACTAGAGTGCAGCTAATTCACTGGCAGAAGCAGCACGCACCTGAGGCATTCCTTGTATGCAGTGAGAGCAGCACGGTCGTAGCTGCTGGAACGATAGAGAGGCACGACTAGAGTGCAGCTAATTCACTGGCAGAAGCAACACGCACCTGAGGCATTCCTTGTATGCAGTGAGAGCAGCGCGGTCGTAGCTGCTGGAACGATAGAGAGGCACGACTAGAGTGCAGCTAATTCACTGGCAGAAGCAACACGCACCTGAGGCATTCCTTGTATGCAGTGAGAGCAGCACGGTCGTAGCTGCTGGCACGATAGAGAGGCACGACTAGAGTGCAGCTAATTCACTGGCAGAAGCAACACGCACCTGAGGCATTCCTTGTATGCAGTGAGAGCAGCACGGTCGTAGCTGCTGGAACGATAGAGAGGCACGACTAGGGTGCAGCTAATTCACTGGCAGAAGCAACACGCACCTGAGGCATTCCTTGTATGCAGTGAGAGCAGCACGGTCGTAGCTGCTGGAACGATAGAGGCGGGCGAGCAGCAGGTTGAGTCGCAGCGAGCGCAGGCGGTGAGGCACTGCCTCCAGCTGAGAGAGAGGGGAGGGGGAGGAGGGGGAAGAGGGGTGGGACGGGAGGAGGGTGAGAAGGAAGAGAGGGTGAAGAGGGGTGACGAGGGGTGACGAGGGTGTAGAGATGGGCGAGCAGCAGGTTGAGACACAGAACCGGCATGGGGCTTGGAAAGGTGGTGGTGGTTGGTTGGATTGACTTGTCCAATTGGATTGACTTGTCCAATTGGATTGACTTATTGACTTGTCTGACCTGATTGACCTAGTTGATTTAAATTCAACCGATCTAATTGACCTGATTGACCTGAATGGCCTGATTCTGAGCATTTGACCTCAGTGACCTGCTTGACTAGATTGACCATGGTCCGTAACACACCACTCCCTCACCTCTGTGAGGGCGGGCTTGACCTCCTTCAATGCCACGTAGCACTCTGCCACTCGCAGCCGCACCTGGCGGCATGTGTGGGGCACGGGTAGCATGTGTGGGGCACGTGTGGCATGTGTGGGGCACGTGTGGCATGTGTGGGGCACGTGTGGCATGTGTGGGGCACGTGTGGCATGTGTGGGGCACGTGTGGCATGTGTGGGTGAGATGGAGAGAGGGAGGGAGGACGGAAAGGCAATAGGGCACGTGCGCCACAGTGGGAGAGTGGAAAATGAGGAGTGGGAAAGCAGAGAGTAGGTGTTGAAAAGAGTGGACAGGAAGAGATTAAGCGGAGGTGGAGGGAGCAGAGGGGGAGAGGAGGGAGGCTGGAAAGGCAGTGGGAAAGGGAGTAGAAACAAACGTCTTGCTCACCTCTGCCTTCCCCACGTCTGTATCCAAGGCCACCATGCTCGCCCCTCCACCCCTTCTGCCCTTTTTTGTGACGTCTCAAAATTCCTTGCTCACCTGTGCCCTTCATTCAGCTTACCTCTGCCTTCCCCACGTCTGTATCCAAGGCCACCATGCTCGCCCCTCCACCCCCCATTCCGCCAACCACGCCCCCTCCCCCTCCCCCTGCTCCTCCCACACACGCTCCCCCTGAAACCATAGGCAAACACCCCATAGACATCCCCCCCCCAACTCCCACTCTCCCCCCTCCCCCACCCCCCCCAATCCCGCTCCCTCCCCCTGACTGCCCCAACCCCCCATACCGCCCCACTCCCCCTGATCCTCCCCCCGTTCCCCCTCCGCCCGCCCCCACCCCCCCTGCACTGTAGCCGCCTGACTGGGCGGGAGTCCCAAGGCCGGCGCTGGCTACAGTGCCTGCTACAGTGGCAGGGCTGCCGGGAACAGTCCGACTGCTGCCGCCCGCGTGGCCGGCCACCTTGCAGAGCTGCTGTGCCTGGCGGTAGAGGTTCTGAAAGAGGGACGGGGGGGGGAGTGGGGAAAGAGGGGGAGAGGAGAGGGGAAGGGGGAGAAGGGAGAGCTCGTCTCAGAAGTTGTCTGGTGGTATCGATTCTGAAAGGGAGGGGCCCCGCGAAAGGAAGCGGGGAGAAAGGTGGCTCGTCTCAGAAGTTGTCTGGTGGTATCTGTTCTGTGAGGGAGGGGAGGGAGGGGCGAGCTTTGAGGGATCTCAAATTCTGGGAGAGAGGCGAGAGAGGGCTTGGAGAGGGGAGGAGAGAGAGGGCAAGCGGAAAGAAAGGGGTGGGAGGAGGGCAGGGGGGAGAAGGGGGGCATAGCTAATGCGACAATGCGTTGCGGTGGCAAGGACTGTTTTGAGGCGCACACCCCGTCACGCTCTCTCTCTCTCCGCGCACCCACCAGCGCACTCTCTCTCTCTCCGCGCAACCACCAGCGCACCCTCTCTCTCTCTCTCTCTCCGCGCACCCACCAACGCACTCTCTCTCTCCGCGCAACCACCAGCGCACTCTCTCTCTCCGCGCACCCACCAGCGCACTCTCTCTCTCTCTCTCTCTCCGCGCACCCACCAGCGCGCGGCGGAACTCTTGCCGCCCGAAGAGCGCGTCCGCGTAGAGCACGAGATTCTCCGCCCTCGATATTGCCGGCACGTCGCTGCCCGGCGCAGCTGCAGAGACCAGGAAGCTTCCCTGAAAGAGCGTGGGACGGAAAGCACAGAGACTCGTCGGTGACCGGAGTGGGGAAAGGGTGGACCTGAAAGGGTTCGCAATATCGTATCGTATCGTATAGATGTGATCCTTGAGTGAGAGCATGTATGACGCGTCATTGCGCCTCGTATCCTACTCTAGAGTGCGTCAGTATGCAGTGACGGCCATTTAACCGTTACCTCGGAAAGCACTGTAGCTACTAGCCGTCGCAGCCACTCACGAGGATCTCAGCCGACTCGTACAGCCGCTGGTCGAGTAAATACGCGAGATTCTCCCGCATCGCGTCCATGGCGATACGCGGTACAGCGCGGTTGAGATAGAGTATTCGCAAGAGCTTTCGCGAGTGTTACACGAGCAAGAATTGAACTCCAAAAAAACGGGCAACCAGACGCGGCTCGTCGCTAGGTACCTCGCTGAAGTTCCCAGATTTGCCGCTCAAATTCGAAACGAGGCAGTGGCGGTGGGGATGGAGTGGAAGTGTGGCTTGTCAGGGAGCGAGCCGAGAACCTTGGGAATGTCAGAAACCGAAATCCAGGTTACCGACCCGACGAACGTCGCCACGGGAAACTAGATTCGGCTAGAGTGGTTACCCCACGAAATCTGTACAGGCTTATTGTACGCGTAGATGAGCTAATCGTTAAGAACCGTCAGTTCACCAACTAAACAAAATCTTCATACGAACTACCCATTGCATTCTCCCAAGTCACGAGCAATTCCTCTCTCCTTGACCCTACTGAAACGTTCTAGAATGTAACCATATCGTCCCGCCACGGACAGCACCGCATTGCATAAAATCTTGCGTAGCAGTGACACCCCGAATCCAGCTTCATGCTTGTTGGTGTGCACTGCTTCTGCATCTCTCACTAGCTCTCAGACCCCAACGAGCTCTCTCGTTTTTGTCCGTGCGTCTCCCAATATGTGCAGTAGTAGTTAGTTTCTAGTTCAGATTCAGGGATGAAATTAGCGGCGGCCATTGTCGTGTAGTCCTCTAGTAGTCCGTTTTCCGAACGCGTCATTCCCAGTAACTTTCCCTCGTCTACCCAGTGTTTCCTCTTTTCGCTTCCACGACTCTGTCCTCTCAATAGTCCGCGCACACCGGCTAGCAGGTTACAATCAACAGTTAACAGCCGCCAGTTGACGGCTAATCGTCAGCCGTCAACGGTAACTGGTCCGCAGTGGTCAGCCGCCACAAATGTACCGGCGACCTCGCCTTCCGCTGGATCAAGTCGCGATTGCGATGCTGTGAGTTTTTCTCTTCTATATATTAAAGGGGAGCCTATATTCAGAGTAAATGTAGGTCCATGATGGATAATTCCACGCAGCAGAAGCCGCCTCCGTTCAGTCCTGTGGTCTCTAAAGTCCTTTTCCCCATCACCCCATCCCCATCCCTCTCTTCCCCATGTGCGCATGCCAGTGCTGGTCTCGTGCGCACAGTATGGGAATAAATCTGTGATTTGACTAAACAAATGACTTTGTATGCGAGTTGCAGCCAGCAGCTTTCCTTCCACAGTTTCCGTTTCAACCACCCAGCAGCTTCCGTTTCAATCATTCACTGGCCTGTTTGTTGCGTCTCGACCTACTTTCCCCATCCCTTAAATCTTCCCTTCCAACCCCCTCCATTTCGTCTCTCATTTCCCCCATTTCCGTTCCCCTTGCACTTTCCCCTGATCTTTTCTCAGCTTCCAGTACCCACTTTCCCCTTCTTCCTCACCCATTCCCACCTCTGCTTGACAGAGTGCGCATGGCTTGGGGCTACTTCCATTCCACCCCAGCACCCACTCAATACACGCTGAGCACCTCCCAATCTAACATCCACCTCTCCCTTCAGCTGCACAGGGTGGGAGTAGCATCGGGCTACTTCCTTTATAAGCACCTTCTTGTACAGCTGGCACCCAGCTCAATCTACTACCTCCCTCTCCCTTGTTTTCTGCAGGATGGGCGTGGCATCGGGCTACTTCCTCTTCAAGCAGCCTCTTGTATAGCTGGTACCCAGCTCAATCTACCACCCCCCTCGTCCTTATTTTCTGCAGGGTGGGTGTTGCATCGGGCTACTTCCTCTTCAAGCAGCCGCTGGACGAGTACTGGCGTGCTCAGGGCAGGCGAGAAGAGGGGGGTCCGGTTGGCGGAGGGGAAAAACAGGGACAAGGAGATGCTGACGTGGCAGAGAGTTGACGAAGCGTGTAAAGCTACAGCTGTGTGTGCTTATGATGGCCTCACAGATTTTGTTATGGTCTGAGATACATGTATATACTACGGTAGGTTCTCTTTTTCAACCTTATAGGTAAATTTCCTATTGTGCTGTGTGTGTGGCTTCTGGTCTGATAATGCCTGCCCTGCCCCTGCATCTATGGGTTTTGATATGCTGCTGAGTTGTTGCGAAAGATTGTACGGTGTTGTATGAGAGGGGCTGTTTTAAGGTAGAAATTGAATGTAGCCCACAGTTGTGCACCCAGTGTTAGAACAGGAAAGCAGTGAAGATTGAAAACGATTTTCCACTGTACAAAGAGAACAGATGTTATTATGTAGCGTATTATTCCTCTATCGTGCCTTGGTTGCATTTCACTGAATGTTTCGCGCCGTTAACACGGACTATTAAACGGTACATCTTACAGCGCAAGAAACCACGAACAGCCACGAGCCCAGCGCATTTGCCGCTGGGTCTAAGAGATTCAACCCATCCACACCGAAGTGCAATGCCTCCACATCCCGTTCAACCTCGGAGAAAAACTTGGAAATTATTCACTTCTCTCTGCTTTGTCAAACTCTCAACCAGTGACAGTGGCATGGGCATGCTCTATGTGTTACCTACCGCCATGGCTTTCATTTCTACCGCCTACTAGCCATATAATGTTTTTCAATAATCACAGTATTGCCTCGCTTTTGCATGTGCACCCTGGGGCTCCTTCCAGAATCGCCGAATTTTGCGATGGGGATTTCGGGAGCTACTAGTGACGGGCAAAACCGGGCTTTCCTGTGCGCGACATAGTTGTTGACGTGGCGACCATCCTGCTCAGCTCACTAGAGTTTTCCCGTGCGTCGCGATTATTTGAGGGCGCGCAGGACGCGCCTCCTCGCACAAAAGTACCTACTAGATCACGAAAATGCGCCGCGGCTCTTCCTGGATGCGATTACTTCTCGAGTGCTTCGCACGCGTACTTCTCGTTCACGCTTCGCGATTATGCGAGGCGCGCACGACGCTTCTCCAGTCTCGATGCCTTGTTAGTGCTTTGCTCACGCATTCCAGACTGTCGACGTAGTAGCTATAAAGAGGGTGTTTCGCGTCCCTACGATTCCATCCAGCTAGAATCCGCCTTCCTCGCTTCTGTAACAGCCAAGTTATACCTTCCTCTTCCGCTCTCAGCTTGCACCAGCCTCCACTCGCTCCCGAGTAATGGCTTTCACTCAGGCTCGCCGCGTCCTGATACTAGGTATGCAGCCTACTCCAAGTGATGATTAGTATGAATTCGAGTACCCCCACACCACGGCCTGTCAGTCAGTGTTCGCCTTTTCAAACTCATTGTTTGCAACATACGCAGCTGCTATAGCAATGATCCTGTGCGGATTGACACGATTTACGTCGCATGGTGGTAACATGATCGTCCGTTTTCGCCACGTGTGCTTTCCTGCAGCAGCTTTCCTCGCGGCGATGGTGGCGGTGGCTTTCGCAGGCGACGACGACAACAACAGAGGCGACAGCTGGAAACCTAGTCAGTGCTTCGCGCCTTCCCCACCAACTCCTCCTTCTCCACTTCCTTACCCGTTCGCATCTTTTAGATTCTCCACTTTCTCCACTTCATTGTACTCCCCACTGACTTCCTCTACCCTTCTCCCTCCCCCCTCCCCTCCCCCACCTCCTTGGTCTCCCCTTCTTTCACCCCCCTCCGTCTCCCCTTCTTTCACCCCCCTCGGTCGCACCTCCTCTCACCCCCTCTGTCTTCCCTCCTCTCACCCAACTCGGTCTTCCCTCCTCTCACCTTCGGTCTCCCCTCCTCTCACCCCCTCGGTCTCCCCTCCTCTCACCCCCTCGGTCTCCCCTCCTCTCACCCCCTCGGTCTCCCCTCCTCTCACCCCCTCGGTCTCCCCTCCTCTCACCCCCTCGGTCTCCCCTCCTCACCCCTTCGGTCTCCCCTCCTCACCCCTTCGGTCTCCCCTCCTCTCCCCTCCCCTCCCCTGAACAGAGAGCTTCACCTCCGCGCTGGTTGGGGCTAACGAGATTCCCAAGAATAACTCCGAAGCTGCCAGGAACGCCGTTGGGGACAAGCGCGGCACTGTGGATATGAAGCTGGACATTCATAAGTGAGTGCATATCCTACCACCTACATACATCGAGAGAGTATGCTGTATCTGTTGCAAGTGAGTCGTAGTCTTGATTCAGACAATCTCTTGAAAGTTCTGAATCTCAGTGAACGCCTTCGAATCTCAGTTTTATTATTATTATTCTTTTTTTACATCACCCATGATCAGGAGCAACGGGGAGCCCGTATTTGTGGCGTATTCGGTGAAAACGTAGAATTTGGAAGGCGAGATGCCGCCGACCATGACCCACGTGCACAACGGCAGGAAGGGGCGGAATGGAGCAAAGCTGCTGGACCTGCCGTGCACGTATCAGAAGAAGAGCAGCAGCGAGTGGGTCTGCCAGGGATCACTGGGTGAGCCCCTGAACGAGCGCACGCGTGCTCTGCTGTGGACACTCAAGAGGATCACGAAGCACCCGCATGAGTTTTACGGGAACATTCACACCAAGAAGTATCCCGATGGTGCCGTGCGCGGTCAGTTCAGGAAGGCCTAGGAGATCAGGTTGCATCGACCTCAAGTGGTTAACTTGAAAGACTTCAGTGGAGCAGAGGAGACAAACCAAGGGGGGAGAAGAGCTGATTTGGGTGAGCAGAGCTAAGAATAAAGCTCTTCCAAATCTTCCTAAGCCCTTGATGCTCTATATTTGGCGAGTTCCTTTTTTGCTTTGCATGTTCTATTTTACCGATAAATAAGTGCAGCACAAAAAATCCACACCAGGGCCTCAGATATCAGGAAAAAAACCCTGAAATTCCTGATTTTGGCAGTCGTTTTTTTACCTACACTGAAAAATCAGTGTTGGGATTTTTGTGGGACTGATCTTTTAGCCTTTTTTGTTAGGCCACACTGAAATTTCAGACTTTTTTTCCCAAGTACACTGATTCCACAACGTTGTAATGAAACTACCACTGAATGCAATTCTGACTTGTTCCGTGTGAATTTGCCCGCAATTACCGGGAATCTCAGATTCCTGCGGTGCCAGCACTCCATTGGGCAGCTTCGCTGCAGCATAAGCGTTGGCTAATCAGAATGTGGCAACCATGTGGTGCTGGAGGGTTGCGAGGGTTCCTGCACCGTTGACTGTGCTGGCGAGCTCTGATGGTCCCGTTCCCTCCAATCTAATCTCTCTTGTTTCTTTTCCTCCTGTTTCTCTCTCCCTCCCTCTCAGCCAGATTCCTCTCGTGCTTTCTCGTCTGCACTATTACCGTCTCCCCCCGGATATAAGCGCCACCCTAGGATAAGCGCCTGGCGCTTCTAATTGGCATATGGCGCTTATATCCCCTCCTCGATTATAAGCGCACCCCTTGAAAAAACTTGTTTTATTATAAGCGCACGTAAACTTTAAAATTTGAAATGTGTTCAAAAAGCTGTAACGATTTTTACTTTAGCAGGCGGATATGTTGCAGAATCGGTTCCCTTCACATTCGGACCCTGCATTGGATGCGGGTCCAGTCAGCAGGACCTGTCAGGAGCTGGATGTGAGTCAGATTGGGTGTATCTCCCAGCGCGCGCGAGAATTTCACAGACGATCCCATGTAACTTCGACTCGATTGAAAAGGCAAGCACGAGACCTACAGTTTGGTGTTAAAAGATATAAAAAAATATGTATGTCATTTTATAAACGCCGGCGCTTATAAATTTACTCGATTATAAGCCCACCCCCATGAAAAAACCTGTTTTATTATTGCCCCCCATGGGGGTATATCCGGGGGGATACGGTACATGGCGCCACCAGCACCAGAAACGGCGGGCTGTCTGGAATCGAACCCATCGCGAGCGCCGCCGAACCTCCTCTAGTCTCGCCGAACACATCGCTCCCGTTCGACGCGATCCGCAGCGCATGCGTCGTCGAATCGTAGCGGGCCTGCGAGATGCCCATCGGCGTCGCAGGCCCGCTACGACTCGACGACGCGTGGTTTTTCGTGCTAATGGCGACGACCGAAGGCTGCCTCGTCGCCAGCACGAACCGCGGTTGAAAGGCCATCTGCGTCGCGGGCGGCGCGCATAGCGTCGTGCTGCGCGACGGCATGACCCGCGCATGACCCGCGCGCCCACCGTCCATTCCCCCGCTCCCTTTACCCCGCACTCCGTCCACTCCCTGTCTCCCCCGGTCGTTCCCCCCCCAACCATGCCAGTCTTCCCTCCTCTCTCCCTCCTGTTCTCTCTTTCCCTGCCTCACCCTGCCTGTCAATCAGGTTCCTCCCCCAAACCCTGCCCCTGCAGCTTCAACGTGTATGTGTCGCAAGCAGAAGTGAAGACGGGGTGTGTGCTGCAGCAGAGCACTGTCACGTACTGGTGTCCCAAGCTGAGGATGAGAGAGAAAAACCAAAGGCTAAGGGCAGTGATGATAGCACGGCTGGTGATGATTCATGAGGCATGTTAGCTTAGCAATGTTTCGGAAGGCCGCTACTGACCTATTAATTAAAATAGAGATTTCTAGCAATAACAGCCTTTCATATTATTGAACACTGATGCATCAGCCTTTTTTCAAAGGCAACACTGATATTTCAGGCTTTTTTTTTTTAGGAACACTGTGAATCAGGGTTTCTACATAGGGGTACCCTGATGGGTCGACGACCCTAAAAGTGAATCTGAGGCCCTGATACACACTTCAACATTTAGGCAAAAAAACTGGCATTAGCATAACAAGGCGAAAATGTTGATGCTTAGTCATGCCTATATGAGTTTTTGTTATGAGTGCAATTGAGTGAACGAACGGGAATTGCACTATCGAAGCAAGAGTACAATGAGTGAAGGCATGAGCGAAGAATAAATAGCGAAACTACAGTGGTAACGGTAATGGACTGTGGTAGTCGCGCGACGGGCCTGGGTGGGACTGTGGTTGGGAAAAAGTGTCGAAGCGGAGGCCCGGAGCGCAGGTAACCCGCCGAGCCGTGAGGTCGGGGTGCGATGTGCGAAGGTGGCGGGCGGATTGTCGTTGCGAGGGTCGCGAGTGGTAACGGTGCTGACTGTGGTGCTACCGTATTACCCCGGATAAAAGCGCAGGTGCGCTTATAACAAAACAGTGTTTTTTTTGGGGGTGCGCTTCTAATTGAGGTGTCTGTATACGCGCATGCGCCTATAATAAGGAAAAAATGAAATTCACTTTTAAACATACTAAACTGAAGCCCGCAATAAGGCGAATCCAACGTGTGAAAGTTAGAAGAGAGAAGAGGGCTGCACTAGCAAGAATGGGGATACAAATAGCAAACCCTAGAAGGGTTGTACTCGCTATAGAGCACCCCACTACAGGCTAGAGCATAAGATAACATTCTGACACACCCCCATAGCCAAAGTGGGGTGTAATCAGCAGAGCAAGCAAAGCAGTACAAGCTCAGGGTGGATCACAATGTCACCACACATTCTGAGCACAAGTTCAAGAAGCAATAGTTTAAAGTTAACAATTATGAGCAAAGCTAGTGGTAGTCACAACGGGCAAGTGAGGAGGAGGAGAGAGAGTGAGAGGAGAGGAGATAGGAGGCGACGGCTGAAGCTGCAGACACACGGGCAACAGGAGGCACACTGGCACAGCGGCTACCGGAACAACGCTCCGGAATACTGGAGTAACTGGCCCCGCGGCTAAAGTAGCGGCCGACGAGCAACGGACCCACGGGCGGCTGGCACAGCTGGCTACGACTGGGCTACCGGACGAAGTCCCCGGAATACAGGTGCTGCTGGCGACACGACGGCAACCTCCATTCAGCTTCCCCAAACGATCCCACTCCCCCTGACACACACCCGTTGCTACACCCCTAGCTCCACTCTCACCCCACCCCCTAGCACCACTCCGTCGAATCCCACACACCCACCCCCCTCAGCGGTAGCTGCAGCAGTGGGAGACAGAGGAGGAGGAGGAGGAGCAGGGGAGACTACACACCCGCCACCCCCCAGGTCGCCCCTCCTCTCGCCCACACTTGGGCCTCTCGCCCTCCTCGTGCTCGTCCCTCGTCCCCTGTCACTGACCTCCGTACCGTGTTGTTTTGTCCTCGTCCTCCTCGTTCTCCTCCGTCTGTCCTTCCTCGTCCTCCTGAGTCTTCCCTCACTGCCTCCCTGTCCACTCCGGTCACTGACTACTACCGCACGTACCGCCCCACTCTCTCTCGTGTTCTCGCCTCTCTTGTTACAGACCCTCGTGCCTCTCCTTCCTCCGTCACGGTCCTCAGTGCCGGTGTCACTGACTTTACTGCTACGCGTCGCCTTGACTACGCCACTCGAGTTGTGGCAGCTCCTCCTGTCCGTCCTCTGTCCGCCGGGGGTGTGTGTGCCCTTGGCTGTGACGTCCTAGAGGACAGACAGTTTGAGCTAGAGTTCCTGGCAGCTGCTTCGCCTCATCTCTGTGCCATGCTGCTCACTCCTGAGGGAGACCCCGACGCTCCTGACATACCTACTCCTCGCACTTACGCTGAGGCAGTGTCAGGGCCTTGGGCCTCTCAGTGGAGAGCTGCCATGGACGCAGAGATGGCCTCCTACAGGTCCACAGGCACTTACGTTGACGAGGTTCCCCCCCCAGGGGCGAACATTGTTGACGGCATGTGGATCTTCAAGGTGAAGCGGCCGCCGGGATCTCCCCCAGTCTTCAAGGCACGCTACGTGGCTAGAGGGCTCAGTCAGCGCGAGGGGGTTGACTTCTTTCAGACCTTCACGCCCACCCCGAAGATGACCACTCTTCGGGTGTTACTGCACGTAGCAGCGCAGAGAGACTACGAGCTACACTCTCTTGACTTCTCCACTGCCTTCCTCCAGGGCTGCTTACACGAGGAGATCTGGCTGCGTCGTCCTCCGGGCTTCACTGGCACTTTCCCGCCTGGGACCCAGTGGAGCCTCAGACGACCGGTCTACGGTCTCCGCCAGGCACCCCGTGAGTGGCACGACACTCTCCGCTCTACTCTCTCCGACCTCGGGTTTGAGCCGTCTTCCGCCGACCCGTCGCTGTTTGTTCGTCGTGGCCGTACACCTTTCTTTGTCCTAGTCTACGTTGACGACTTGGTTTTTGCCACGGCCGA